CCTCACTACCGGGGTAGTATTGCCATCTAATGTGGAGAACTGAGACTATATTTGTTTGCTTTCTGTCCTATGTTCTGCACAACAGCGGTTCTGTATGCCTGATCTTATTACTACCACTAACTTTATGCTACAACCAATTAATCACTGTACTAGAATTATAATGGTAAGCAGAGTGTCTGTGGTCTGTCTACAACTCGCAACATCTGTAATATTGCACCATATCTTGGTTAATACAGTTTTGCTCAGTACTTTCTTTCCAGCATATAATATTAAGGGAACAGTTTGATACGCACAGCAACACTGCACAAGACAGATTTGCATATCACTAGTTTTATTATGTTCAGTCATACTTGCACCAAATAGTGAGGTATAAATTAATAATCTTAGCATAGTTTGATTTTGTCACAAATTCAGAAATGGAACACCTATATTTTGGCAGGAACTAGTATTCTTAGGTGTCATCAAATTGAGCCTCCACCAGATTCCTCAGGATTAGTTGTACGATTTTCTGATTGACAAAAGTCATTGCAAAGTTTTGGTTGATCAATGAATTCTATTAGAAGTCTGTTTTGATAAATGTTTTGATATACTATCATTGGTTGTCTGGTATTCCTGTTTAGCATTGTACATGCAGCCATCTTGTCACAATGCCTTGGTGAGGTTCAGAACAAAAACATTCTAGTCCATTGTGGCAGTCACTTGTGACACAAACCAGTGTTGAGTTAACTAATTGAGATGATTGAGTTTGAATCTCACCTGGCAAGGCTGGCCAGCTTATGTGAGAGATGCATAGTACAGGGTCCAGCTTCAGTAACCCCGGAGTGCATATGCAGTAAAACCTGCCAAAACCAACCTACATGTACTGTCAGAATCGACCAATTTATGTAGCCCCGAAATTTCTCTACAGGTGCCCGTGTGAAATCTGACCACTGTCTACTCCGAACACCGACCGCATTGAACTGTTCGAAGTCCAATATTCACACTGAATACATTGACCAGTTGCACCACATCCGCTATCTCGTAAACCAGTCTGCCAGACTTAAAACGTGTGCATTGTGTTCAATTTACCACAAACGTCACAGAAACAATACCAAATCTCACACTACAAGTAATGTCCCAGGTAAAACAATGGCAACTGGTTAAGTTTTTCACACCACATACCCACGCATCGCGTGATGTCCAGATAGTATAATGACCCCGGATATAAACAAATGATCAGCGTCATCACCTTCAGTTGCGGTGAAGCGCACTGCATTATCACCTCTTTTCATAACGATTCTAATCGTTAATTTTGTGCCTTCGAATGTTTCTGTAAAGGGGGCTTTAAGATTGAAATTGATAATGAAGAAGAAGCAGACTACAATAAAGAAATCAGAAACCTCATTTAGCAAGTTGCAGACTCAGTGTAGCGTTGATGTATACCTCCACTTTGATGAACGTATACCGACTGAAGCAACGTGTGACGGCGAGTAGGAGCAACAGATTGTTGAGAATTTTATTGCAGACAAAGAGAACCATGAATCTACAGACAACGATGACATAAATTGCAACGACAGTCAAATTATCGCCCCCCACAACATGACGGCATCGCATGGCGATGTGCTAGACATGTTGACGAGATTACAGAACTTTGCAATAAACAAAGACTCCAGTTACTTGACAGATATCTAAGATCTCAAAATTCTAACTGAAAACAAAATCGTTGAAAAGAGATGATCTTTAAAGTAGTCAAAACTTGACGATTTTTTTACATCGTAATTTGATTCATTGACTCAACAGCAAAATCGACTATCTGCATATATTATGATAATTACATGTAGCTCATGTGAACATACATTGTGATGTCATTCAAAATGGATGCCTTCAGTTACGATACGCGATACTTACCCGTTCTGTTCGAACAGTTTTGACAGGTTTTGCTGTATATAAATGTACCAAAATGAGCCAAGTACGGGTGATATTTTTAGCGAGTACGGGTGGTATTTGTAGCGAGTTCTTTGGTCATGGAACTTAGTCAGCCCCGTTATTACAAGGGAAGCATCTCACTTTGGACTGTGATCGAACATCCGAGCCGAAAGCTATACATGGGTGGCGATACCAAATTTATAACTGTACTATTAGCACTATACATAAATACAGGTACCATTAAACTAAGTTGTCATCATTGCCGCAAGGTTACTGAAATAAAACTCTTAATTTATCTTCTAATAGCCGATGATGTAGTCAGTGAATAGTTGAAACAACTGGTTTAAAAGGGATCTATGTGTCACATAGCACTGGCACCATGTAAATTAGTCTTCAACGTGATAACACCTTGACACCGAGGTTCTAATAATGTCATAGATCCAACTAGCTTACTCAACAAAAATGTACACTAGAGTGAAACAATTATATATTTAGACAAAAGTGTTATTACGAACACTGTTGCGTCACTCTCGTCAGGCCAAGGGGAATGAGTCTATTTATTTATTATTGTAGTAGTTCCATGATTGAACTTGTCTGGTCAGTTACGGGGAAATTTATAGTATGAAGGCAATACGTACGCACAGTTAGTATAATACTGGATTTTCTGAGTAACTCTCATAATTTGACTCGTCAACTTCTTGTAAAACACACACAACAAAAATACATGCGCCAGAAACAAATAACATTATGGACAGGTATCACACTGGGTTTTGTTGTGGGTACTGTAAAAGTGATGATGGCACTTTTATTTAACAAGGCTACGTCATAGGGGTCAAACTGCGTGAATATATAATTAAACATGACTGCTTCACGTCTACATTTATTTTTGTAAGATAGAACTACCGGGTAGTTTCTTTTCGTTAGATTGAACTAGTTTCAGTTCGTACCACTGATATTTTCTTTCTCAATGGAGTGTTTTGCTGCACTCGTAATTGTTGTATAAATCCCAAACATTTTACTACGCAATACCCCGTACTGCAAATACCACCCATACTCGCTACAAATATCACACATATTCTATATTTTCTGAGAAGTGTGGCCTATACTTTTCACCCGTACTTGGCTCATTTTGGTACATTTATATACCTCTGGAGTGAGGACATTTCAAGTACAGTACAGTTTTTTGATGTCTCACTGTGTGTTAAAGTCCTTATTTAGGGCATGTGTTGTTGACATAATTTAACCAAGAGGCACTTTTCTCAGATTTTAAATGAAAGTAAGCTATTTCCTCGTGTACAAGAGTACTCATAACTTATTTTACTAGTTTTTAGTTAAAACAAGTGATTGATTAAACTTAAACCTAGAGTTTCAGTTCAGAGGAGTCAGCTAGGTCGAAACTAGGATGATACAACACTGAGTAAATGTCTCTCCAAGCTTCTATTAATAGTTGTGTTGGGATTTGAGGTTACACCCCTGTTACTACAGAGAATTCAGAATTCTGGCTGATCATTCACCACCTATGTGTACTTTTGTAGTCTACCAAGGAGTTTCAATTGATACCTTATTGTCCAGTGTGGTTTTAACATATTATGAATTCATGAAGTGATGTGTTGACACTTTACATAGTGAAGCCATACTTACCTTACCTTACCTTGCCTTACCTCGCCACTGCCATAGTTGATGATCATTCTCTAAATCTGAATAAAATGTTAATTATGAGATTTGCATGGTCTGTGTTTGAAAAATGTTCATTAAGTTAGGTGATTTGTGTCCAATGGCTGTTTGGTGCTCATATATTTTTGAAATCTTCATCAGAAAACTGTGCACAAGCAAAAACATTCAGATATTTCTTTTGTGCAAAAACTGTTCAATGTATCTCATGACCCATTTCACCCCAGTAATGTTACCTTGCCGCAATGTCCCATCATCATACTTTGTGCATTTGTTCTTAGGAAAGAGATCTTGGTGATGAATATGGTTGGAAACAAGTTCATGGTGATGTGTTCAGACCAGCTTCACATCCAGTATTATTTTCTGCATTAATTGGTACCGGTTATCAAATAGCATCAGTCGCTATGTGTGTTATTTCATTTGCTATTGTTCAAGATCTCTACACAGAGTGAGTTCAGCCATTATTGAGACCACAATTTTAACATTTCTTTATGCGTGTTGAATCAAATGTCACAGTAAATAGAAAGTATCACATCATCCTATAACATGTATGATTGTTTTACAGACGTGGTTCTATGCTGAGTATTGCTATATTTGTGTATGCTGCTACTGCACCAGTCAATGGTTATGCTGGCGGTGGTCTGTATTCAAGGATGGGAGGTGAGTACACAGTAACAACAGTTTGACACATTGCAGTGATGTATTTACAATATATAAATATATACATTTCTTACACAAGTCAATAGGATTAACAAGACAATAAATCAACTTGTAAAAGGTAGTATTTAGGATAATTATCCACATCACTTTAGAACAAACATAACAATCATAGTCAGCATGTACCTATCTGACATTGATTTATTCCATACTTGCAGTACACAAAATGTTTTATTTGTGTTTATATATGTTTTTTATTTTTTATTCTATTTATGTATACAGGTAAAAGGTGGATTAAACAAATGGTATTTGGTGCTTTTTTGGTTCCAAGTCTTGTCTGTGGTACTGCATTCTTTATCAATTTTATTGCTATTTATTATCATGCTTCAAGGGCTATTCCGTTTGGTACAATGGTAAGTTTACATCTCTATTGCTAATTTCTAGTGATATGATGCAACTCGTTAGGTATTTAGTGCAAATTCATATTAATTACCTTGTTTTTATTATCATTTTTGTACAAATGTGTGCATATTAATTAGTTTAGTTTAAATGTTACGAGTGCTGTCACATGTACCTGTTCCTGTATTCAGATTTCTTACATGGCAGCTTTGATTACCAAGTCTGTTTTTTGCATCACAGGTTGCTGTATCTTGTATCTGTATATTTGTAATATTGCCATTAACATTGGTTGGTACAGTATTGGGACGTGCTATTTCAGGACAACCCAACTTTCCATGTCGAGTTAATGCTGTTCCCAGACCTATACCAGAAAAGAAGTGGTTTATGGAACCATATGTCATTGTCATGCTGGGCGGTATACTGCCTTTTGGATCAATCTTCATTGAAATGTAAGTTACTGCTGGCTTTTCAGTCTTGCCTTTAACTATTGATCACCAAAATCAGCTTTTGCCACCTTTCAGAAATAAAAAAAAAAAATTGTTTTTAGCCAATAGCGAAATACACTCTATTAATAAAATATACCGTATCTACGGTAGTACAAGTGAATCACATACAAACATGTCCTACTGATGCATTTAATTTCATGAATTTTAGTACTAAAAATGAAAAGGAAGTAATGTATTCTCATCAATCAGATTGATGCCATAGGACTGACAGTGTTTTTTGGTTCTACAACATGCATATTTGAACATGCACATCAATTCATTTCATGATCTGATTTAAGCAAGCATTTCTGCAATCCATAGACTGGATCTTGGTTGTGTATGCATGGGTTTTGTTCAAACTTGATACAATGAACATATGGGGTCTTGATGAACATCATTTTGGTTTTCAGACTGATGAACATTTTGTGTTACCAAATACAATTCCAGAGCCATAATCTATGGCATGCCTTGACTGATTGCAATCAAACATGTTTCACATATGCAAATGCAAACAAATATGTTTATCCAATCTTATCTCAATCAATCTACTGTTTATCCAATTTACATATATTATTACCCAGTTTATCTTGGCTAAATTAGATTTTGATATATAACATTAAAAAAAATTTTCAGATTGAATTGCTGCTTCTGTTGTAGCCAAGATGTGATATGGCAACTGGTGATGGGCTGGGGGAAACTCAAACTATCAATGTTTTGTGACCGAATCAATAAGACAAAATCAATAAATAACATGCTTGAAACAAAGCTAAATAAATCTAGAAATAAACTCATTATTTTTATTTTCAGGTATTTTATTTTCACTAGTTTCTGGGCATACAAGATTTACTATGTATATGGATTCATGTTACTGGTCTTTCTCATCCTGACTGTAGTTACTGTGTGTGTTACAATAGTGTGTACCTACTTTCTATTGAATGCTGAAGACTATAGGTGGCAATGGACGAGTTTCTTGGCTGCCGCATCAACGTCATTCTATGTATATGTCTACTCATTCTATTATTTCTTCTTTAAAACAAAGTGAGTATAAATTTCATTTGTTTTGATTTATGATGCCATGCTCATGCTAGTGAACTTGTATTGTTTTATTACATAACTCTCGATTATACATAACTGGAAGAAAAATTTCATTTTCTTAATTTAAAAAGTCATTGAATATCATAGTAGGATTCAAGAAAATTTCTTTCATATGATTTTACATATTAGATCAGTTTATCAGAAAGTCCATAAAAACCCAGTTTTTAACTTGTATATGCAAAGCACACAAAAGAAGTTACATTAAAATTATTATTACACAATTACAAGTTTGGAAAATGTGGTTGCGAGAAATCAATAGCACCAGCAAATTTACTATTTAAAAATCATTTAATCCTCAAGCCTTATCTAACTTTTATTGACAATCTGCTTTATGTAAATTAATAATCATCTACACCAATTATTAGTCGCCGATTGGACGTAGTCCAAAAACGGGGACTTATGTTGACAGATTTTGTTCAAACTTGGTATATACGTTGGACATTAATAGGACCTTAATGCACATCATTTTGTTTTCAGATAAGATTCAAAATGGCCGACTGGCGTTCATTTGGTTTTAATAAATGTGGTTCTAGTGACATATTTCTGACTTGCTGTGACTGATTATGTTCAAATTTTAAATATTCATTATACTTCATGTCATAGATATACAGTACAGTTCTCGCGAAAGCTTTGGCTTAACTTCAGCTTCACCTTCGCTTCAGCATCGCATCAATGTCGCGACATTAAAAAGTTAGGCAGTTGTCGCTGTTGGCTCATTATTGTTGCCTCATTATGCCGACAATGTGGCATCAGCATCGCTTCATCAAACAAAGAAGTACAGAACTAATTTCGCCCAACCTTTCACTCGCTTTTGCTTTTCAATCGCTCGCTTTTGCGACCGCTTGTTAGTCCCTGTTCGGACAAAGTCCGAAAACGGGGACTTATAATTCGGTCTCAGTCCGTGCGTCCGTCCGGAGTCATATCTCAGAATCCCTTGGACCGATCCCGTTCATTCTTTGCATGTGCCTAGTACTTTATGTGGGACATATGCACATGCAGTGATTCGATTCAAAATGGTCGACTTGCAGCCATCTTGTTTTTTGAAAATGTTGTATTTTGGACATGCTTTGTCAGTTTTAATTCAAACTTGGTACATAGATTATACATGTTAGGATACATGTCCCCGACCATCTGGAGGTCCTGAGTCTGTCCGTCCGTCTGTCCGTCCGTCCGTCC